AACTGGCCGAGAGGTCCCGAAGAAGTTACAGGAGTGGCAGGAACCAGCCTCGGCAAGCACGGTGGTGGAGCATTTGAGGCCCCACTTCTCACACTCTGGACAGGAATTTTTGATGACGGGCTTGGATTCACCACTCCCAGGTCTTAAAACAAAGTGATTAATACAAGCTGCTGGTACAGGAAAGTCCGATCTTCTGGGCCAGAGAACAAAATTAAATTTAGAGGAAAAAGAAAAAGGAAAAAAAGACCCCATGGGGATAAGCGAAATGGAAGAGAATCAGGCAGCAGTTAGTTGAACAATAACATCATGATGCACAGAGAAGAACTGGTTACTGAAACTGGTCTACACACTTCTACTGCTTCTACGCCCCACTCTGTAGGTGAACACAGAAGGGAGCTCTCCTCAAGGCTCTAAGGAGCTACTGGGGCAATTAGGAGCAGCCATAACCCTACTAATTCGTTCAGACTTCCCTCGCTCATTAAGCAGAATTCATGAAGGGTCTACCATGGTCCAGGCTGAAGACAGTGCCTACCCGCAGACAGCACCAGCACCACCAACTACAAGAAGGAAACAATGTTCTCAAGAAAAATGTCAGGGGAAAGGGGGTGGGGCTAGCACGGAGGGCCATCTGCCTCCTTGCTTCAGGTTTCACAAGAGGGGAAATCCAACAGGACACTTTGGTCTCTCTCCACCCTCATGGGTTCTTTTCAGAAAGAAGACGACTAGAGACATGCCTATCTATGAAAGGGAACAAAGCATACGTGGCTCTGGCTCGGGTCTCTCTCCGAGTACCACCTGTCTGCTCCTGGCCCCCCAGGGTGTTACAGGGGCAGGTACCTCCGTGAGGGGCAAGGTGCCTGCTTGGGTGCAAGACCGGTAAGTCTGCTTTATCATCCGACCCGAAGCCACAACAACTAACCAACCCAAGGAGTCTTGTAATAAAGACACTGTTATCTCCCGTCGGGAGTCTGTGACTTGGTTCTGAATTCAAGCAGGGCAGAGAGCCATCACTTACAGCAACTTCTCTTTGCTATGAGTGTTTGACTATCTCCCTTCTTTTCCCCAGCTGCTGTCATTATGTATCCTTATAATACCTTGGTGAGGAGCAGTTGTGTTTTTGTTTTGTTTTGTTGTTTTGTTGTTTTTTGTTTTTTTTTTCTCTTGCAGGAGAAAAACTACAGAATCTTGAATGACTTGGAGGCCATTTGATAGCCAGTTTGTTCATTTAGAATAGAAAATCCGGATTCCTTAATACAGATGTCATTTAGAGCATACAACCTTCCATTTGAAATCTTTGGGGAGGTGAGGTGCTGAATATTGGAAGTCATTTTTCTGCCACATGACACACTAGTCTATTACATCTGGAATGGAAACACTACATACAATGCTTATCTACCCTACTTATTTTATGCAGCTCTGAGGATGAAGCAAGCAGGGAAGGAAATGGGAACAAGGAGTAGGAATACCCTTCTCTTGCTTCGGGGCATTTCTACTCCATTCATGAACAAATACTACAGTCCCCTGGGTGCTAGGCACCAATCTTGGAATACAGAGATGAATACAACACTGTCCCTGAGGAGTCCACGTCTTCCCACTCCCTGTATAATAATGTAATCCACTTCTGTTAAAAAAAAAAAAAAAAAATCACCTCATGGACACAATCATCTATACAGTCAGTCCACAGAAAAAGGGTTACTTTGTGGTTTCCACATGTTACCTCCTCCCTAATGGCCCTAGTTTTTCCAGCTCTTTGGGGGTAATTTACTACAATTGTTTGGTTTTGTTCTGTTTTCAAAAGACAATAGTTGTAAATATAATCCCAACCTGAATGCAGACCATGTGCTCTATGGCTGGGAGGCACAACTCTAAGCTGCCCAGCTGCCCATAAATGCAAGGCATGGGTGGCTATGAGGCAAGGGAATAGACACACGATGTTGTAATTAAATTCAGAGAAGAAAACATAACCCAGGGCAGCCATAAAACATAGGGCACCTCTTTATCATCTCAAACTCAAGGCTACAGGTTCAACAAAGCGAATGAGCTCCCTATCTGTTCTTAACACTTTTAATACTTTTAACACTTTACACTTAACACAAGGTCAAGCTTACTTAAGCAAACAGGTTACACATGGTAAAACAAAACACCTTCTACTTTGCTAATTAGACTTGTGTAAGTGAAAATTCAGAATACAAAACATGCCAAATAGTGAAGCTTTTATTTTTTTTTTTTTAAAGGATAGGAGTACAAAAACATTTGCTGAGGACCTATGTTCTAAGTACCGTCCTATTAGCTCTCCTTTCACTAAATCCTCTCCACTTTGCTGGGAAGCACACAGTAGTGGGTCCTTTTTCCCAGATTCGGAAACTAAAGTTCAGAGGTTAAGTAACACATATTGTATTTTCTATTCCAGTTCCTCTGGCAAAATTCCTTCTTCTCACAATCAGTGTTTCTCAACAAGCTTAGGGACACTGGTTGCTACCTAGTTTAGGGTTGTGAACTTTATATGGGATAGCCATGCACCGAGGGACATACAGCAGCCCCGGCCTATGGACAAAAAACAATAGCAGCCCCAATATATCCTAGTCATGTGCTAGGAAAACCATTTCTCCTCAGATGAGAACTACTGCTCTAAAAAAGAATCTAAAAGATTCTTTGAGCATCAGGACAAAAATACTGAAGAGAGGGGTACTTCCTTTAAGAGTCTCTCATACCCTTAAATCTTTCAGAAAGTCCCTGATTTTATGGCACTTGGGCTCCTAGGAAAGCCCCATGCACACTTATGAGTCAGTTATAGAAGTGGCCATGAATTTATTTCCCATACATTCCAGAAGCATTTACTGAGTACGTACTATGGGTCCGGTACTGTGCTATTGGCTGGGAGTACAAGGTCCAACACTCAAGGGGTTAGTCAGTTATACTCTATTGCGAGGTTAACTTTGGAAAAGTTAAAATAGGTGTAAGCACAGGTACTAGGGAAACTTAGTGCAGAAGGCGCCTCCCATAGACTAGGGCAGAGAGCTGGGAAGGCAGGTTCACAGAGAGAGTGAAGTTTTCCCTGAGCCTTGAAAGATCAGGTGAGAACAGCCAGGAAGAGCCCAGTCTAGGCTGGGCAAACAGCCTTTCCAGAAACTGAGCTAGGAATCCTATTTGCAGCCCAACTTGAAACTACTTCCTTCATTCCTCAGGTTGAGACCTCATTGTGATTCAAACTCAGGATCTCCTGTTTACTAGACAAGCCCTTGAACCAACAAATCTCTACAAATAAATAAAAATAAGCCTCTGCAGTCCACATGTACTTCATTCCAAAGCCCTTGTTTTTGCAAGGTCTGATTTTGCTGGTATAATAACCCATCAGACAAGAAATATGACTAATTTTATACTTCTTACAGTGAACAGGAAATTCTTTTCTAATGCACTGTGGACTGGCAACCAGTGGGAGTGTCTCTCACTTGGAAACACAGAAGAGTGAAAAGAGGATAATCCAGGTCATCTGAAGGGTGAGGCAGAAGGGGTGCCAGCAGGTCAACTTACCCTTGACCTGAAGCTCAGGATGAGCCTTATCTTCTTTTAGCTTTTTTTCCCCACTCATATGAAGCCTTGTTTCACTTATCAACTGTAACAAGGCAGAAAGCCAGGTTCTCACCTTATTAGTATATTTGCACAGGAAGTTTAGAAACCTCTTTCGCTGTTTATTTTTTCCAAACCATGTATGTTATATATGTAATATAGAAACCATATACGTGAGTATATTAATAAACAGGTAACTAAAAGTAGCCAACTGGGGAGCTCTGAACCTCAGCCCAAAGGCAATAGGTTTTTGAGTTAAGGTATTGAGCCCAGAAACTGGGTTGACGCTACTTCAGGTGGTTAAATAATTATAATGAGAACAGGAGTCAGAGTAGTTCAATTGTTCTCTCCTGGGGCAGGAAGGGGCGAGGGAAGCAGGGCCCTGTGGCTCCCTCTGGCTTCTAGTGACACAGAACGGGCTCATTTCCCCTTGGCAAGGAGCCAGATGTGGCTGGCCGCCATGCCCTCCTTTCCCTGCCCCAGTTCCCCTCTTACCTGAGCCACACTCAGGAACCTTAACTCTGCAGGTAACTTCAGTCCCATGATTATTGCATTTGTATCATTCAGGCACACTTTGACCTCTAATTTGACATCACGAACACATCTGGTGCATGTATATTTCCCCATTAACTACCCTGCACACACAAAAAGTCTTGTGTCCCACGGGAAGAGATTCTGAAGTGAAACCTCGGGAAACCTCCTGTCCCTCGCTTTCTAACAGGAGGTTCAGGGGAGACCCTATCGTAGAGCCCAAACTGCAAAGCCAAAAGGCCAAAATCATGCTAGAAAAGAGGAAGGTGATCTTCAAAGAAAAAGATTCAACCAAACGGAAGAGGTTGGCTGTTCTTTTTTATTCCTGCCTGATTCCATTTCTTTTTTGTAAACTTTGCTAACCCCCGGGATGGTCGTAAAAACAGACAGGTGGAGGGGCACCTCCACCCTCTGGGTACATCTGCTGCCACGGCTGCCGGGTGCGCACGATAGGGGCCCTGGACCCAATGGAAGTCCATGCTTCCCGATGACGCACCCGGCCGGGGGTCCTCTCCCACGTGGGGGGGGCAGAACGAGCATTCCCAGTCCCGTGGCCACCCGGCCGGCCCCGGTGACAGGGGACAGCGAAAGGGACACCTCGGAGCCGAGACCTCACGCCTGTCTCTCCGGCTTTCCCACTTCCAACATATCGTTTCGCAGCAGGGGTACGGTTTGCCTCCAATCCCAAAGTCCTGCGCACCTACATGTCTTTCCAAAGCAACTGAAGAAAGCGCCTATTCGCCTTCCGACGCTCAGGTGAGTGCCAGGAGGTGTAGGAGGAAAGGGCCCGCTCGCCACCACCCTCTTTCCTCTCCTCCCCACGTTCCCCGCGATTCAACAGGGATGTGTGTATTGGGGTGCGCGGGTTAAGAGGGAGCTTAAAATGCCCAAGCGTCCCTTACCTTCCACAGCCATTCTCCTAGAGCTTCCCTAACGCATGCATAATTTTCTCAGCCGAGGTACTCCTCCTGCCCCGCTCTCCCCCCTCCTCGCGCTTTCGCCTAAATATTCTGCGCTCATCTGCTCCAGGACCAACCTGCCGCGGTCACGCAAAGCGAGGCTGCCGGCTCGGCTCCGCGCAGGGCGGCCCGGGAAGTGTAGTTCTCTTACTTCCCTCCGACCCGGGAGAGCACCCCGAATCCTCCGCGGGGGACTGCTGCGTCTCCACACGCAGACGGCAGCGCGGGTCTCAGCCGGCCCAGGCAGAAGAATCTCTCCTGGGGGGCGTCTCGCGGGCAGAGCCAGCGACCCCCGGACGTAGCGAGGACTACACTTCCCAAGATGCCGTGCGCTGGGTTTCGTTCGGCGCTGAATAGAGACCCGAGATTGAGCTCTTCGCTGACAATTGGAAGTGGGTAAGCACCTGGCAGGCAGGGTGGCGCGGAGGCCAGGCAGGTAGGGTCTGTGGGGGGATCTTCTGGGCTAGTTCGTCGGCGTGCTTGGCCAGCCGTTTAGTGAGGAGGGCAGAGCCCCTGCCTGGCCGTGGTTCCCACCTGGGCCAGAGAGCCGCTGCCCGGAGTGCGGTTCAAACTTGTTCCTCTGCGCCCTGGAATACGTGGGGTTCTGGAGATTCCCGCCAGGTGATATAGCCGTCGTGTGATCCAAGTGGCGCAGGTGGATCAACACTTCAAATGGGGGTGGGGGGTGGCTTAAAAATCCTAAACAGGCATCAGCCTCAAGGGGTTACTGAGAACCAAATCTAGGAACCAGAATCCCACCTGAGATGTCAGATGAAGGAACTCTGCCTTGCTTCCCAACTAGCAAGCTTGCAGCTTGTTTGGCCTGGGAGCCAGTTGGCCGTCTGTGATGGGGCCTAAAAATCAACAGCGCTTGAGAATTAGTGTCCTTTCAACTTCTGACCCTGTGTCCTAACTCCAGGCGTTGGGTTGCTATAAGCAGACAGGAGAAAGAATCACGCGGAGGGCAATAGAATTCCAGAGCTGGTAAATACTGATAAAAATGACGTTCCGAAGGCTTTTTATTCCCCCCCCTCCCTGCATGTGGAAATGTAGATGAGGTTATGGCTGCTAGAGATAAGGGAATGGTCTTGGGGGGAAAATCTGATTCAGGACTGCAGTGAGACTCTTAAAGGTCTTCAGCTTGGAAATTGGAATGGTTCCATGAGGTTAGATATATCTCTATCTCTGTCTAAAAACCACTGTGGAAAATAACTCGAAGGAAGTATAAAGATTTGATTCTTCCCAAAAGATGACTAGTTAGATTTTGTCTGTCTTGGTCATGTTGTTTTGTTGTGTTTTGTTTTGTTTTTTATTAATTTTGTTCCTGAGGGTGTACAATGCACACCTGCTTTTCTGGCCAGGGAGTATGTGCCTAGTCCTGCTATCTGGTAATATGGCTGTGTCTGGGTGCACATATTTTTTTTCCTTTCTCTTTTTCCCCCCTCCCGGTGTCTTTAAAATACTTTAAAAATACTTGTGTGTAACCATAACATGCCATGGATGATACTTTAACTGAGTCCATAGAGCTGTGTGCAAATCAAACCCAAGGCTTCCATCTTTGGTATAGTAGGCAGAGACCTTTTCAGTGAGATGCAGCGGGTATTCACTGTAAAATCATTTTTCCAACTTAATACGCAACCAAACACGTTAAAATCTGGGAGGAACGAGGGGCACCTGGCTGGTTCAGTTGGTGGAGCACGTGACTCTTGATCTCAGGGTTGTAAGTTTGAGCTCCATGTTGGGTTAGAGATTACTTAAAAATATATGGAAAAAACTGAAATCTGGGTGCTTCTCTCCCCTTTCATATATGTAACACCCCCAAAGCATTAAGTCTTTCCCTAGAATGTTTGAAAAAGAAAGCCATGGGACAGGCAATATCAGTGGTTCTTGACCTTGTCTGTGCACTAGTCTTTTCCAAGCACACATTTTTAAGCTTCAAGTTAATCTCACAGAATCTGAATTTCTGAGTGTTTGGATAGGGACAATTAAGTTTTTAAAACTCACAGGTGATTCTATGTGCAGTAAAAGTGAAAAATCATTAGTCTGTTTTTAAGCTTTTAAGGATCTGGGTGATACTAAAATGTAAAAGTCGCTGGGGGTACTGGGTGGCTCAGTCGGTTGAGTGTCCAACTTGGGTTCATGTCGTGATCTCAAGGTTTGTAAGTTCGAGCCCTGCCTCGGGCTCTATGTTGACAGCTCAGAGTCTGGAGCCTGCTTCACTGAAATCCATTTTTAATTTAAAAACTTTACTTCAACCCAAATATTTAAGATCTTTTTCAATTGATCTGCATTCTTGTTTGAGTTTCACTTTTAGTATAAATGTAAATAAGATGTGAAGGAAGTATTAGTTTAACCAATAAGAAATAGCCAATACTGAATTTCTTTCTTTCTTTCTTTCTTTCTTTCTTTCTTTCTTTCTTTCTTTCTTTCTCTTTTTTTTTTTTTTTAACCTAGAAATAGAGCAGTATCATATGGTTCAACCTAATGAAGGATATGCAGAAGTTAAGTTGAGGTTTTCATTTCTGGTCGATCACTTGGGGGGTAGGGGGAAACAATTCCCACTAGAGTGGACAAAAGGAAAAGACAGAAAATACCAACTCTTGGCAAGACTGTGAAGCAGTAAGGAATCATAAATACTGATGGTGTTTTGTGAATTGACACAACCACTTTGGAAAACCATTCGGCCTATTAAGTTCAATATATGCTTATCCTGTGATCCAGTAGCTCCACATGTAGGTGTATAGCAGACAGACATGCATACACATCTCCAAAAGACATACACAGGAATGTTTGGCTATATTATTTGTAATAGCTACAAACTGGAAATAGCCCAGATGTTAACCAACAAGAGACAAATGAGTTGTGGTATAAACAGACCAACTTGTACTGCGGTGAGCAAACTATGGCCCGCGGACCAAATATGGCCTGCTGCCTATCTCTGTCTTGTTCATGAGCTAAGTTTGGTTTTCACGTGTTTAAATGGTTGGGGGGAAAAGAATATGTTGTGACTTGTGAAAATTATGTAGGAGTACCTACATAATCACTTCGTTTTTGCTTTTTGGCCCGTTAAACCTAAAATATTTCCTATCTGTCCCTTACAGAAAAAAGTTTTACCAAATCCTACAATAAAGTAATGGAAATGAATGAATTACAACTGCATAAAACAACAAAGATAAACCATGTGCATTAGGTATCTATTGCTGGTAACAAATCCCCCCAAAATTCAGTGGCTTAAAGTAACACCGTTTTGTTATCTCAACGTCTGTGGGAAAGAGATTTGGGCACAGCTAATCTGGGATTTCTGCTTCATGGTTTTTTGTTTTTTGTTTTAATTTTTTGAGAGACAGGGAGGAAGAGAGAGAGAGAGCACACATGCAAGCCAGGGAGAGGCAGAAAGAGAGGGAGAGCGAAATCCCAAGTAATCTCTGCACTGTCAGTGCAGAGCCCAATGCAGGGCCTGAACCCATAAACTGTGAGATCATAACCTGAGCTAAAACCAAGAGTCAGACACTTAACCAACTGAGCCACCCAGGTGCCCCATTTCATGGTCTTTTATAGGCTGCAATCAAGGTGTTGGCTGGGCCAAAGTCATCTGAAGGCTCACCTTGGGAAGGATAAGCTTCCAAGTTCACATGGTCATTTGCAAAACTCACTTCCTCACAGGCTGTTGGGTGGAAGGCCTTAGTTCTTTGCTGGCTGTTGGCCAGAGGCCATCCTCAGTACTTTGCCACAAGAGCCTTTCCAACATGGCAGTCTGCTTCATGGAAACACACAAGCTAAGAAAGCAAAATAGAGTTTGCTAGCAAGATGGACGTCACAACCTTTTTTTTTTTTTTTTTTTACCTAATCATAGAAGTCCCATCCCTTCAATGTTTCATGCTTTATTGGTTAGATATAAGTTACTCAAGGGGAGGTTGTAAATATCAGGAGGTTGGATCATTGGGAGTCATCTTAGAGCCTGCCTACCACAACACACAGGCAGGATGTTAAAAAAAAGCCAGATGTTAAAAAAGAGATACATATTATGTGATTCCATTTTATATAAAATTCAAAAACTGGACAAAATAAATCTATGGCATTAGAAGTCAGAATAGTGGTTCCCCTATGTGTATGAAGTGGGGAGTATAAGAGCAGAGAATGGTTAGAAACTGGAAGGCCCGGGGCGCCTGGGTGGCTTAGTCGGTTAAGCGTCCGACTTTCGCTTAGGGCATGATCTCACGGGTCGTGGGTTCGAGCCCCGCGTCGGGCTCTGTGCTGACTGCCAGCTCAGAGCCTGGAGCCTGTTTCAGTCTGTGACTCCCTCTCTCTCTGACCCTCCCCTGCTCATGCTGTCTCTCTCTCTCTCTCTCCTAGAATAAATAAAACATTTAAAAAAAAAAAAAAAAAAAGAAACTGGAAGGCCCATGAGGGCATCTGGGATGCTGGGATATGGTGATTCTTGAGCTTCCTGCTGTCTACACATACGTATCATGTTTGTGAAAAGGTATTAAACCATATGTATCTGATTTGTGGAAGTGTGTATGTGTGTGAGAGATATTCCAATGAAAATTTATAAGAGGTAATATATGTAGATTCAGTTAAACATGATAAATGACCCATCCATCAACCATTCTCTGATTTTCTATGCCTTCTCTTTCTTTGTCACAGTAATGTGGCAGTTGATGCCCTTCCATTTAATAAGTTAGGTTTTGAGGACCTACTAAGTGCCAGGCACTTGTCTAGATGCTTATAATATATGGTAGGCTGAATTTCTAGAAATGACTCTCAGGATTCCATATCATTATCCCCTGACCTCATGTATGTAATGAGTCATTCCTCCTGTGATTGTGTTATGTTAAAAGGCGCAGTTGACTTTAAAAGCAGAAGACTATCCAGCTGGGCCTAATATAATCAATCAAGAAAGCATTTTCTCCTACTGGTAGCAAAAGAGGAAGGCAGAAGAGGAACTCAAAGAGATTCTAGGCATAGAGAAGATTCAACACACAGGTTACTCCTTTCAAGAGAGAGGTGTGTAAGTAGGAATACAAGTGGTCCCTGGCAGACAGCGGCAAGGATTCTGGATTCTGCTAACAACTTGAATGAGTATAGAAATGGATTTTTCCCCAGAGACTTCAGATAAGTCTTCAACCCACCTAACACTTTGACTTAGGCCTTGTAAAACCTGAACATAGAACACAAGTGAGCCCACACATCCCTCTTAGCAACAGAACTGTGAGCTAGTAAATCAATATGGTCTTAAGGTGCTAAATGTACTTCTTTTCTTTTTTTTTAATTTTTCTTTTTTGAAAGAAAGATGGAGAGAGTAAGTAGGAGAGGGGCAGAGAGAAAGGGGGCATGAGAATCCCAAGCAGGCTCCACACTGTCAGCATGGAGCCCAGTGCGGGGCTGCACCTCAA